AAGATTACACAGTAACGAGATAGAAAATTATCGGTAAATCCTGAATAAAAATTGAATATCGGAACTGTTTAGTAACTATACTAATTATATAGATAGTGGCTAGATGAAAAAGATTACACAGTAACGAGATAGAAAATTATCGGTAAATCCTGAATAAAAATTGAATATCGGAACTGTTTAGTAACTATACTAATTATAGTTACAAATAAGATTTTGTATCTAGCTACTAGATAATTTTTATGGTACAGCCACTAGCAGAAGTGAGCGTTACATTCCTAGCTAGTAGCGATGTAAGATTCTTTTCTGTGTCATTACTAGACAATCACTACATTCAATTTTTGCTCGGGCTGTGAGGCGCTTCCTACACGGAGAAAAATAATTTGCTGGTCCAGCAAATTTTTTGTTGGTCTAGTAAAATCTTTTCATTATTATATAGCCAACAAAAAGACTTGCTAAGAGTACTAATCATTATTTGCTGGATATAATTTGCTGAATTTATAAATTATTTTGCCATAAGAACTATGATAGATTTATATAAGTAGTTGCAGTTTTGCTTCGATAGCAAATAAATTTGCTAAGGATACACTATTTTGCATCAATAGCAAATTAATGTGGTTCTTAAGACAATTCACTCAATAAATTTTTTCTATCTTGGTAACGAAACTACTTCTGCTCTGATAACGAATAATTTGTAAAATTAGTTACGTCAATTAAATTTTTTTTATATTACTACGAATATGCAGTAACAACGACGATTTTACTAAAATTCTCCATATAATATTCAAAAGACTGAGTAGGAATATTTAGCTAGTCACGAGCTAGTGATTGGCTAGAAAATTTATCGAGTCACTCCGTGTACTATCTAGCTACTAATCTTGAAATCTGTTCTACTAGATACATTTTTGCTCAGGAGATTTCGCAATGTCAATGATTCTGAGGGCGAGCGCGACTGCATGGAGAAATATAATTTTGCTCTTTTAGCAAAATCGTCGTTGCTGCTGTATATTCATAGTAGAAAAAAATTTAGTTGACGTAAATTTTACAAATTATTCATTATCAGAGCAGAAGTAATTTCGTTGTCAGGATAGAAAAAATTTATTGAGTATATTTGTTCTAAGAATCACGTTAATTTGCTATCAATACAAAATAATGTATCCTTAGCAAATTTATTTGCTATCGGAGCGAAACTGCTTATATAAATGATAACTAAAGAAATTTGTTATTGCAACAAATATTATGTGTTATTATAACAATACTTCGTTGCTTAGAAAAATATTAAATCTTGTTAATATTTTCATAAAAAAGTGTTACATTTTACAACAAGACAGTTATACGTGTAGACATTTATACAGTTGTTTTTACTCTGATAGTACACAATATTTTTTAAATATTTTTGAAATATGGGTATATTAAATATTTAATGTTCGGGAAATTAAGAAAGAGATATAAGAAATATTATAATAAATATTTAAAAAATATTTATGAAAATTATTTGATAAATATTGACAAAACGGGCCACTTTCCGAGGACGATGACCTTCACATATTTTGTCAAGATCATCATCCTGAGTAAAATTCAAAACATTTTAACCGTCACTCATTGTTTGTTAAAAAGTTATTAACAAAAGAAATTATACTAATTATACTCCTGTTTAGGGGAGACTGCTCCAATGATGTTGACCTTAATATATGTTATAAAAGTCACCTTCCTGAGTGACCTTCTGAAGGTTTTAGCTGTCGCTCATTGTTCATTAAAAAGTTATAACAAAAGAAGTTGCATAAAATGAATATAATGTTTGGACACACACACACACCGCGAGGGCGAGGTCGAGCGCGCGGAGGGGGGGGGG